CACATCACAGGTATGGAGGAAAGGGGAGAGGAGGGCCTGGGCAGCATCCTGTCCCCTCCTTTCGGAAGGAGGAAGCCCTACGGTACAGAGCGGAGCACACGAACTAATGACTGCTGTAGAAAACACTTCAATGCAGCAAACACTAGAGACCATACAAACAAAATAGTTCCTTTTCATGTGTTTTACTTAAGCCAGCCCCTGTTAGTTTCTTTTGTGCCTGAGAGTAGGAAGGCTTAAAATGGGAATTTGTTGGTTGTTTACTACAACACTACGCTTTAAAAAAAAAAAAAAAGGAGCTAGATTAAGTGTGATGAGAGACCTGTGAAGAAACTAGAGTCTTCGTGATGGGGATTTAATTATTCTATTATCGACAAAAATGAGAATTAAAGGAGGAATCAACGTGCTGACTTCCACAGGCAGTAAAAAACAGGTTTATCTTTCACTGTTTATTGAGCTCTTAGATATGATAAATTCAATAATGGTCTGGTGGGTGTTTAGTGCTTTATAATATATCATTGGGCTTAAACTAATCATGGTCTTAGGCTATGAAGGTAACAAATAAGACTTCAGACAGCATCATGTTGCTAAGCTCAAATATTCCCAGAAAGATGGTGGGAGAGCAGCGAGCAGAACAGGAAAAAGTGGTATTTAAATCAAACGGAGTAAATAATGCAATCATGTTGATCCCAGTAAGAGCAAACAGTTAAAAGTGATAATGGAAGTTACCGGAGTAAAGCAACAACATATCAAATATAGACAGAAAGCAATTACAAAAGGACTAATAGAAAATTGAAAGGACAAGCTAGCTGATGTAAAAAGCTCACAAAAGCTCTGTAAAACATTCAAGGGGAAAAAGTTGCACTTGCTAATAATAATCCATGAAGGCTCAGAGAATGCTAATTAGCATAGAGCTGCTCTTCGTTTGTACAAGGACGTATGGGCCTGTTCCAGGTTTAAATAAATGACTGAATGACAGAGGCTAAACTCATTGGTGTTCTTTTAAAAGTAAAAAAAACTACAGAGTTCTGGCATCAGTCGATAACGCACCAGAAGTAGGTTTACTGGCTTTTCGGAGACTTTCAGAGATTTTCTAAAGCCACCAATCTATCTGCAAGGAAAACATGACTTATCACACCTAACGTGAACCCACCACTGGGTGTGATTTGAGCCAATGCTGTCTGCTCAGCTCAGGAAATTTGCTACCTTTCAGGCCTTTTCCACACCACTCATTTTATTGCATCTACCTTTGCAAGAAGCCCAATTTAAACGACTTTCAGACTGGAAAAAATAGAAATACAGAAACTGTACAAAGCAGGGAATACTGAGTAGAAGGAAAATGAGACACCAATCATCTCAGGGTTCAATTCCACGTTCAGCCTCAGCTTTTCTGGACAAGTCAGTTACTTAGATGTTTAGTAGGATTTTCAAAGCCATCTTCAAAAGCCTCAGTGCTTAGTCCATGCTTCCTCAGCACAGGGCTGAGAAGGGTACTCATTACTTATTAAAATTGCTACTTCTACGGTTGTGTTTTCAGTATCTGAAGAGTAAATTCACACAAGGAAGAACAGCAGCAGGAGGGTGATGCTGAAGGCCCACAGCATTGCCTTCTTATTTTCACAGTACGGACATACTTGCTGATAGAACACAAAAAATCTAAGGATAACACCATAGTATTGAACTGTCATATCAGAGGATGGCATGTTTGCTGTCAGCCTTGACTAAATTAATTTTCTTTTCTCTCTTTCTTTGGTGAGTTAGAGAAGTCAGCAAGGATCGTAGCAATTCTGCTGTGTAAAAAGTAACTTGGTAGGAGGTGGGGAGCCTCGGTCAGTATATCAGCACATAAAGCAGTAACATTCATTTTAGAGATTTCCTCCTGAAATCCTATCCTCCGTAGGAAGGGAAGCGCTGAGCTGGCTGGCATGTTGGGCACTTCACCCCCTCTGCGGCCCCAAAGAGATCTACAGACCCAATCTCACACTATATTATCATTTTCCCCCTACATGTTCTTAATTAAGAAAAACAAACGAACACTTAGCCCCAAGGATCTGATTCATACAACTATGTATCTTACATTAAATAGCGCAATTCAGCAAATATTGAAATTTAGGTTTTAAAAATAAACGCAACAAAGACTTAGCTATGAAGAAACCTGTGCTTCTCCACCCTTGCCGAGAATGCTCATTGCTGTTTTGAGATTTAAGTATTTATTTTCTTGCTTTTAAGCACATTTGTTTTTTAAATTGCTGTATCTTTATTTAACAACATTGTTGCTTATGCATCAAAAACACTTGTTCTTGGAATCTGACAGCCATCTAATAAAGATGATGCTTTAGAAACTAAGCTGAACTATCTATAAAGAAATTGTAAAATTCAAAATTAACGATCCATTTCATTCTTACAGAATTCTGTGCATCACTGATGAGCCAACCAAATATATGTAACATTCGTTGTTGCTTTTGATAGAAAAATCAAGTAACATGCAATGCCATCTTTATCTGGAGGGCCTTACTCTCATTTCCAACAGAATTCAGCCACTTGCCCATATTTAGCTCATCAAGCAAATGAATTAATCATTCTTTCACTATTGCGCCTGCAAAATATAGTAAACACCAAGCCTTGAAAGTTTTCTAGTAGGAGTCAACATCTAAATGTTAGTCCCATTCTGCATTTATTCTCTGTATTAACATAAATTAATTAAAGATGCAACAAGCATGACATTTTCAATAGGAAATACTGAAAAGGCCAGTCCAACTGGTACAGAAGTCTTGGTTTTCAAGAGCACAAAATCAATTGCAAACTTTAGATATGCAGAGCAAATGATACCTGAATATTCAACTCAGAAGAGAACAGAAGGTAATCCTAAACTGAATCCCCCATTTCTGCACTGAAAAGCACTGTAACGCCCTCATGCTGTATAAAGGAGATCCTTGAGAGCTACGTGCTCTATTACAGCAACAGGGCAGAGCTGTCACCACCCCAGTTCTGCGGGTGAAGGGCTGAGAAGACTGCAGGGGTACCAGGTACCCACCCAGGTACCTGGGCTGAGCGGCTGGAGGCGGGAGGAGTTTGCCCACGCAGACCACCACGTTCATACAAATATTCCCTCCCAGTGCCCCAGTCAGACTGTTCACGGTAGCGTGCACAGACCGCAGTCTATCCGCGCTTTATGCATGTGGCTCTGGGGATCTGAGAGACCACGTTGCTGATTTTTCTGCTTGGGTCTGTGGATCTGATTATTGGTTTCTAAATATAATTGGAGATATTGATTTCTTGGCATTTAGTTCTGCTTTAGAAAAATTATCTCATGTGTTAGTTTTCCCCATGTTCTCAAAGAGCACCATGACTTCTCTGCCAAGTGAGAAACTGCAAGCTACAGTTTTTGTTAGCAATAAACACTTCAAAAGCAGAATAAACCTCAAAACACGGGGCTGGAAGCAAGTAGGCCACCAGTCTGCTGCAGAACGCAAAGAAAAGAAAATTTTGAGAAGAGACATTGGGCAAATCCTAGGTTTAGAAGCAAGCATTAAATTAGCTAGCATTAACTTTTTTTTTTCCCCCCCTCTTTTTATTAACAGCATTCCCAATGTTTAAGGTCAATCATCAGCAAGTCCCACAGTTCAAAGGTCGGAATATCTGGTACTCCCTCAAGGCACATGGACATGTGCATTTCTTCCTCATACATTCCCCCAAAGCAGCAATACCTTTCTTAACATTCACCAGCTTAAAATAAAGATGTATCGAATGTACAATTTATTTTAAGTCTTACAACACTTTGGTTTTTCCCCATCTATTTCATCACAGCAATATAAAATTCAAGGTCATTAAGTAGAGAGCGTGACAGTTTATTAGAGCTTCATCTCAAATTCTATACATACATGCTTTTTCAATATTCTTCATTTTTATTACAGTCTTGATAGAATTTCCCTCAGAAATTAGAATGATCATCAAATGAAGTTTTAATTATCGAGGCCCAAATTAATGCAAAATACCAACAAAAATAGCATAAAACCTTTAGCATCCAAATTTCTAAGAATGGTAGGGTTTGTAAGCTTAAATATTTAAATGTAAAGGGACTTTAAATAAAGTACTGTAAAAGAGAAACATTGCCACTTACTGGCAGTACCAAGGTCTTTGCAATATTTGTAGGCATTTATGTGCATCTTTCAAAAGCTCTATTAACCTTTATACTATTTGTCAATAAAAAGCCCCATTAACATTTAAACTGTGTATGTCCAACTGTCTACTTCAAACAAGAATCAAAAGATAGCCTGTAAGAAACAGTTATTTATTACAGACTACCTTATTGGGACTGTACACATTGGAGATTTTGAAAAGCAAAAAAAAAAAAAGTAAAAAAAAGTAAAAAAAAAAAATCAATTCTCAATTGGCAAAAAGGCTGCACATGACCTGAGTAGGAGATGTGACAGCCACACGGGCGAATGGGTATCACCGACAACACAGTACAGCTTTGGAAAGAATAGTATGACCAGCTGGAGCCATTTCAGGAATACTAGAGGTCTAAAGAGGTCACACTGTGTATGAAACTGAAATTTAAACACTGCTTTTGCAGTAGGATCATGAGAACTTACATGACATTAACAACTAGCCTTACCTGACATTAACAACTTGTCTTCATCAGGCAAAAACTTGATTTTAATCAAAGGTAACACAATCATTGGATAAGAACTGAAATCACAGCTGTGCAGATGACAGACTCTTCAATAAAGCTGCTGAACTGGAAGTGCCAAAGACATAATTCACCAGTTCATGTATGCCCCCCAAAACTTTGTTTCAGGCACCACTGATTTACTAAAATCCCTATGTGCTGCTTCTGTAAAGTGGGTATTTCAAAAGGTAAGGAAAAATGATCCCAAAATCTAGAGACTGAAAGTGACGTCAAGCAGTTTATTACCACTGCTTTTACAAATCATTAATGAAGACAGCATGACCTGTTCCACTGAAGAGAAGGGGGGGAAAAAAAAAAGAAAAATATCATTAATTGTCTTCAAGTATGGGAGATGCACTCAAAGTGACAACAGAGGCATTCATTTCATTACTTTACAACACGGAAATTTATAGACTCCATAGAAAATTTACAACCAAAATGGAGCTAGTGTGACAAACGGTGCTCATGTAGCAACCTCTAAAATGTAAGTCCGCAAATTCAACAAAAATGTATTTTAGTGGCTTCGCTTCCTCAGGCTCCAGTTTGACAGAGCACCACTTAATGCAATCATTCCTTTCATCTCACGTCCGTCTTGTCTTCTGTTTTTTCGTTTGTCTCTTTGCATCCTCTGAGCCACCTGTGTCAGAACCTGTCTGTCCAAGAGCACGTACTCCTTGCAGTCGAGTCGTCAGCTGTAGCAGTAAGGGAATGAGCTGGGCAAAAAAAAAAAGGGGAAGCAGCTTGTGATTACAGGTGTATGTAAGGTCTGAATGATAGCGTTCTTTAGACCCATGCATCCCCAAACAAACAGAATCTATTGCGTAAATGGCACATCTACAAAGATATTAGAAAATGGCAGCAAATCTTGGGAAGGAATCAAACCAAACTTCTGGGAATTTCTGATCATCAAAAACTAAAATGATTCGTCAGTAACTTTTTTTTGCTGCCATCATCTAGCCAAGAACAGCAGTTTGAGTCCTGAGTCTAGAAAATGACCGCCATTTTCAGTGGAAGCACTTTCAGTGACACTGTAGAAAATCCTGGAGAATCCCATGTTCTGTGCTGTCTTACCCATGTTTGAGAGGAAATCAAACTGCACAGACAAATTTCTTTTCTCTTATCAGCAAAACAGAAATCCAGTCATATCAGAGAAGATTAGAAGAGCATGGCTTGTTAACAAAAACAGAGGGGGCTATATAGTTATATTCCTCTTGAGAGCTTTTCACTAGGGAGGGTATAAAGCTAAAGAGACCAGACTCAATGACTTGTAAGATTTTTTTCCAGTCTGATTGTTCCTGAAGCCAGTAAAACAATTATTTTTATTCCTATTATCACTGAGTCTGGTTATCTGAATTTGAATGATGCTGCATTTTTTTTTTCCCCCAGAGCCATCAAATGAGAAGACAAAATTCAGAAGTGGCACAGGAACTCACCTTCACACTAAGTTTTTTTAAAGGAAGGTAGTTATCCAAAAACTTGGCTACGTTGTGGCTTTTCTTAAAAGGTGTCACGTAAGGTGACAGAATGCTGACTGCATCTCTGTCTGGATAACCACCTCAACAAACCCTCACTTAACACAGTACGAAATATTCATTGATAGGACAATAATATTTGGATAAGACAAAAAAACCATGACCTACCTTATCATGGTTGTAACCAGCCAACAACAGAAGCAGCGTCAGTGGTAACGCGATGTAAGATCCTTGGGCAATATCTTGTTCAGGCAGCTTTCTCTGAAAACAGTGGGGACCATGCATTTTGGTTGTTTTTTTCTTTAAACAGTCATTTCGACTACGAAATCCCTCAGCTTTAAGCAACATCAGCAATAGGATCATGTGGCACATCCAGCCCTTCCCATCTGACTTCCTTCTAAGATTTACTTTACCTTCAACTTCAAAGCAGTCCCCTTGATCAGATTCATTCATCTGTTACCTTCTTCGTGGGGTTTGCTGGTTTTTAAAGCTAATTCACTGATGGTCAGTCTCCACTTTACAGTCAGCCTGGTGTGCATTGATTTACCTGTCACGTGCTGCCCAAACCTCTATGATCCCAATGATACTACTACAGCAACCACACTAGCACAAAAGCTTTCAGGCACATCTGCATCCTTCGCTTATAACTGCCATTTTATGTTTCCCTCATGTTTCACTGGCATCTGAACACGCAGTGATGCAGAAAAGAAATAGATCATGTAAGTATTACAGAACAAACACTTCACTAAAGTGACTGCACTGTTCAGAAGTGCAAAAAGACACTTCTCTCTCTCAAGGGAGTTTTCCCCTGATGTTAAGTTTGAGAACTCTTCTGCTTTACCCTCCACCTCAGCTCCAATAACTAAAGCTCTCTTTTTGGCCTGGTGATACTTCTTTCATATACACAGAAGTCTTTACAGGAATTCTGACAACAATCCAATTTTCTCCTTCAGCCCCCAGTTACTGCAACCTTTCAGTTAGTGTCATGGCTACAACTCCTTCCTGAACTCCTTACCTGCCTCCCATTAACATACCAGGTTATTACATCCCTGCCTGATGCCTTAAATGTGGCCAAATCCAAATTCACTGTCACTTTAGTGCCTCTCATAAACCTCTTTGTATTTATTTAATAGAAAGTTTGCCCAAGACCACAAAATACGTGCAGACTATACTACCAGACATTGCTCTCAAGGCAAACACTTGAATATTTCAGTATTTTGTACTTACAGTGGGACTGAAGATCAGTGTAATGTGCTTATGATACCCAATAGCAGTGAAGGAAACTTGAGGCAGGGTGTAGTCATACTGTGATTTAGACAATGTAGAATCCAGGAGCACCACGTAATTCTGCGGGTAAAAAATACACTCAGTCTACAGCATCAGTAGCAGTCTGAGAGAGACAAAAATTAGATTTAAAGGCAAAAGTCAATTTAACAGCCTTCAAATCTTCTGAGACACTCATCACTCCAGCATGAATACAGTACTGCAGGCACACCAGAAGTAACACTGAAGTGTCCTTAGGGAAAAAATTTAAAGTGACCTAAGCTAATTATTCGGCAATATTCTTACCTCTCCATCTCGGAGCAGTGGTGGGAAATGGAAAAATAGGGATAGGCCTAAGTTGACTGTATGAATTGGGTTGTCAAGATTTTCACTTTTGTAGAGCTTCACCTGTGAGGGAAAGAAGAAAGCACAAACCAGGTATTTCTGAGCCTGCACACAATAGATATTTCGGACATCCCACATCTTAAGGGATAAAAACATTTCGTAATTCATCATGTGTTTTATAAACAGAAAGTTGGCAAGTAAGAACACCCGGAATTGTTTTAATCTGGGATGTGAAAAGTCACAGAAACAGTCTTTTTACAGAACTTGAAATAATTTAGGAACAACTGATGTCTGATATTTTCACATATCTAGTGTATTAAAAGTAATCTGTGCTGTGCATCAACCAGAACTGAGTAATTCTTTTAAATAATCCCAGAGTTTCACAGGAATTTGCAGCTGTTTCTGTTTCTCCTACAGGCTCATTTTGCTTGATTTCAATTTCTCTACACTTATTTAATAAGCTAGACGTCCTCAAGCTACAGAATAGGCCTGAAGTCCTAAGCAAATACAGTTTGCTCCGAAACCAGCGTTAACTAAAAGAGGGTTGTACCATAGTCAAATAAGGCTGGTAGGGGCAGCAGCACCTCCTTACATGAGGCTGCCTGTACACACAAATGTCTACCAGCCATTGTGCCTCCTCCAGAGGACACAGTAAGCAAAGTGATGGGTTTTGTGGACCACACTGAAGCAGCTCGCTAGCATCTGTACCATTGTTTGTAAACTTCTGGATCAGATGTTTGCCAAGACTCAGCTCTCCTTGCAGACACAGCCCAACTAAATTCCCACTGATTCTGCCCAGTGCTACCGTGGTTGCAGCTCCAATCACAGCTCTCCAGAGCATTTCCAGTTGTTTCATCAAGCCCATGCAACCAGAAGGGACCAGACTGAGGTCACAAAACTGCTCGCTTGCATCTGTATCAAATCTTAGCACATCTTTCAAAGACAAAAATTTCTGCCTTGAAAGCAAGGGTGATGATATGCACCCATCAACAGCACACATGCATTACGTGCAATGCAAGACCCAACCTCAGATGAAATGGGTACAGGCTTGGATAACTTCCATAGAATTAATTTTGACATCAATTCTTATTTGCTTAGGCTGAACTGCAAGGGTCTAAATTTCCCCAGAAAGATAGGAAGCTTGCTCAGGTGCTCTTCAGTAAGGTCATACATTTTCCCTTTACACCTGCTCTGAGTGTTGGATCCTTTGGACGTCTCCCAAAAAAACCCAACAGCTTAACAATGAGATCTTGGCAGGTGAGATGCATAATAGACTAGTCTGAAAGAAATCCAGGCACTGCATTTATATTTGTAGGTAACATTTCAAGAAGCTTTTAAACCTGAGAAATGGTACTATAACTCCTACCACACTAACACCTCTTGCAGGTACTTCAGCATTTGCACCCTAAGCCAAAAGGATCACAGCTGTTATGGAAGCTTTTTTGAGATCACAGTGCAGTCTTTTGAATTTTGAAAATTTCAGCTTTACTATTTGTCTCATACTCTCTCTTATAACTGTACTTTTAAATTCATGTGTCCTATGGTATCGTTGCATTCACATGGTATCTTCTTGCTAGCAGACACGCATGTCAAAAATTCCAGGTATTTCAGGAATTAATGCAGTTCTCTGATACAGAGGACTCATTTCACCCCTGGTGTCCTGCTCTCCCTACGGACATCCCTAATCAGGGAAGCAGACACAGAAATGTACAGGCCAACCTGAGGAAGTATTTCTTAAACATATTCCCATGAAAAATGGAAACATTAAAGCAAAGCAGTGAGGAACACTGGTATCTTAATTCTACCTGGAATTCAAATTCACCTTCATTAAAATATTAGTCATAATTTGAATTAAATATGTGCTCTGGCTACTGAACAATTTCCAGTGACCCTGCAAAAAAGAAATTGGGAAACAAATGGCAAACAGACTTGAAAAAGATGAAAGGCTTGAACTTACACATAATGTGGAGAGATATTCGGAAGATGTAATTACATTTCCACTTAAATCAAATTGATTAATTTGCCGGAACGCTATAATATTAACATCACCAATGTCACTGTTCCCAACCTGCAACATAAAGCACAGTCATGTTTTTACCAACAGAGGAACAGTTAACAGAGGACAGTTAGCACAACACAAATATTGCTCATAATTTTAAACAAGAAGTGAATTTTGTTCTATACTAACCACATGGAAAGTTGAAGGCTTTCCAATTGCAAGTACTTTTCCTCCAGAGTGCACAGCTCGCAATTACAGACTTGTGCATTATCAGCACAAGGCTGATGGCATTAAGTTAAACTAAAAATGGAATTAGTATCAAAAGCACACATTATTTTGGAAGAGGCTGAGTTACATACACAGGACTGCCTGATGGCTGAACACTGGTCTCAGTATTTTGCAACTGTGCTGAGAGATGCATACTACTATGCTAGGACATTTATACAGTTGATTAATGAGGAATATGCTCATATCATAATATAACCTACTTCAAAAATATGTAACTTTATATTCTTCAAAATTGTTTAAAATACAAAACATTTGTGTTTCTAAATCTGAACTCTAATCAGAGTAAGGAAAGACATTTACTGAAATAATAACTACAATAACAGACAGGTTACGGTTAGGCCAGGTGCCATATCAGCAGTCTGGTGCCACTGAGGCTGTACATTTTTCCTGCAGGTGTCTTTCAAATGCTTCTCTCTCCTGGAGAAAATGGCAGGCTAGCCAGGATACTATTAGTATAAGCTACCGCATACAGCTGTCACTTGCAGTACATAACCTTCGTATGATTTGGGTTTGCCGTTCTCTTCCCCTTCCCTTAGCCAGAAGACACTAAGGACTGCCCTTCTGTTTTGCTGCAAAGGAGGGCACCCTGGTCAGGCACGTCTGAGCTCAAATAATGACCATCCCCCACTGGAGAACTAACGAAGGCTAATTAACCTTTGCTGGATGTCAAGAGATAAATGCGATGCAACTTATCTGAATCTGTAAGGATGGAGGAATATTTAACAAGATTTCATCAGTTTTCAATTCAAAGTTATTATTACATTTTATGAAGATTTTCTAGTCTGAATGACAATTTCATATACATCAAGACTGCAGGATTTGGACCAAATAAAGCATAATAAAATCTATCAATCAATAACTAAATATAAAGATAGCATAATATGACAATTTATAACATCCTCAAGTCGCTAGTGCTTTGTTTCACATCATAAAGAAATGCTGAAAGGTATTCTATACATTTATTCTCTCGTTTCTTATGTATAGTTTTTGTGACTGTGAAAGAATCCTTTTCACTTGTTTACCATTTGGGCTTTATCTTATTTCATTTTTAAGCTATGGTGGTGACGCACAATATGGGGCCCGTATTTAGGGAGCTAACTTGCTGAAAGCCACTTGTCTAAACAGAACGCATTCAACTACTTTGCTGCTGATAGAACAGACATAATGCCTAGACAGATGCATTTCATATTTAAGGGATACTACAAAAAAAGAAAAAATTACCTCAATTGCCCGATGCTGTGGTAAAGCTCTTTCAATGTGATCATTGCCTTCAGCTTTGAGTTGGACATGATACACACAACCAGGCTAAAAGCAACATTCAATGATAAATTCCAATACTGAAAAATATGTACTTTAATTTTAGAAGACAGTAAGAGATTCTGTTTAAGATACACCACCCAAACAGATCTAACTCTATCCAGTTAAAGTTTTCCTTATCCCAAATAGAAAATTTAACTCAATAACACCATTAAGGGTGTTTACTGCCAGCAAATACAAAAGGCCTATCACAGAACTTTCACTAGTTTATTACATTACAAAATTAAAAGAAATCATCTGCTGTGAAGTGTTTTAGCTAGAAAGAAAATCCATTAAACAGGATTAAAACCTGATCAAATACTGCTTTCTACTTCAGCATAATTGCTTACTCCATACATAGTGGTCCCAGAAATTCAGCTTCCACGTTTCCTGCAGAACAGCTTACTTCACATAAGTACAATGCTGTACAATCAACGTCATACATATACCCAATATCCTGCTAAAAATATGCTGTCACAGTATTTTCACAAGAGAAACTAAACGCTTCCCCAAATTCTTTTGCCTAAGAAAATTCCCTGCTATAACACCTGAACACCTGTTAGACAGTTTCAGTACATTGACCGGGGGCTCATGTCACATCATGGGAACTATTCAGCGTTTGTGGGAGGCCATCACAGTATGCTGGCAGCAAGTTCCACAGACTTAAAATGAAAAGTTTTTTCCCCCTTTACTAGAATGAATGTTCACTACATGACAGTGTAACACAGTCACACCCAAGGGAATCTGAGCTAGCAAGCGTGATGGGAAAACAGAAATCGGTAGCTAATTAATAAAACACTTTTTATTGCTCCGTTATCACACTAACATAAAAGTAAATCACAGAGAGCGTTCTAATCCTTACCAGAAGGCCACGTAGCCTGAATTTGCCCTCTTCATCAGTTATCGTGTCTTCTCCATAGATACTACAATCCTTCTGCCCCACAGCTTCTACTGAGACTCCCTGCTCAGGCTCTCCATTTAAAGAAGAAACTGTGCCATAACAGCTAGAGGTGTAAAGAGAACCAATTGCTGCAGATGTGCAGATGCTGTTTTAATGCACATTTTAAAGACATTTTATTGTTATAACTGATGGAAAAAGTACTAAATATATTTATCATAGCATGGAGAAGAAAAGCGGAATTTATAACATATATGTAAAACTGTTTAAAGCATCAGAATTACCTGCAGTTCAGAGCACAACTTTAGGAATCCAAGTTCCCTGACTTCATGAATAGCAGCACTTACCCCTGAGGGCAAGGAAAGGAAGGATCTTGAAGTCAGATACCTGAACTGGTCTACCATCCCTAGAGTAGTCCTCTCCTGTCCCACTGGACATAGCACAAGCCACTTCCAGTGCCACTGACACAGTGGTTTCATATAAATGTTTCTCCTTACAGTCCTGCCATCTGGGCTTAGCTATATATCTACATGCATAAGAAAAGGCTAAAAAAAGTACTTATACACAGCACAATAAAGTTAAATCGTGCCTTCAAAAGTACCCTCCAAGCCCTCAGAACAGAGGTGTATCAGGAGAAAACACACATTTTGCATAATGCATCCTGATACGGTACGTAGCATTTTGCACGGCATTTCAGCTCTACTGACCTGTAAGCTGTTCTGTAACCAGTTATCCGAATTTTAAGATTCTGTCCTTCCTGCACTTCAATCATTTGTGATGATGGTTCAAAGCGAAACTCTTTCATCATGGGTTTAAAATAATACTGCCCTGGGCTCTGCAAAGAGGCATATAACAAGCTGTTTACTGATAGTGACACAAAAATTCACCAACTCCAAACAAGTTTCTGCAAGAGCTCCCTAAAAAGCTAAAGTTCTCTGTGCCAACCGTACGTTAAACTGGTCGGAAAACATGAGCACTGAAAAACAGGGAGCACATTGGACAATAAACCAGTGGAACTCCATCAGGTGATAAAGCCTGAAGAGGGAAAGCAAACTATGGCCCTAAAACCTTACCGCAAGACCTCAAGGACAGGAAAGTGACCAGGAGAGAAAGATGTCTGCAAGGAAACTATTCAGGCATGTCTACACACATTTACAGATCAATAATCTAATCAGATTTCTTTCCTCTAAAGACTCTCAAATGATCATCAACAAATTGGCTTGTTTCATGTTTACAGACTGCAAATTAGAGATCAATCAACATCTTCCCAACCTGTTGGGAAGAAATTCTTGCCAAGTTAGACTTCACATCTTTCACTTGCTAAGACTGTAAGTGCTGTCCACTCTGAGGGACCTACATCTCTCATTGTGGGTTACGATTTCAAAGCAGACCATACATCCCCCTGCCACTGAAGAGAACCAATAGCATCCCTGTTTTAGAGGGCAAAGTAACACAGCATCGCACATTCAGAAGAATCAATTTCAACTTACCAGATTGGAAAAAGTCAGCATGCCATTATCCTGTGTAAGGAGGTTGGAACGAAACACCCCTCCACTGAGAGACAAGAGAACTCCAGCAAGAGCCTGGTCATCCTCTGATTTGATCTATTTTTGAAAAAGCAATAGTTTTAAGTGCAAGCGAGAGTTGCTTTATGAAGAAGGGTTCAATTCAGAAGCCCCTTACAGAGCACACAGGTGTGCTGGCTCTGCGCACTCAGCTGTAAGCAGAAGAAAACTAGCCACATCTGCAGTGTATCCCCTCCTGCAAGACTGCAGGGCTACAGAAGCTGGTGCTCTCAACATCTGGGCAGTCACAGCTGCATATAGCATGTGCCACCAGAACAGTCATTCTCTATCACTTCATAGGACATGCTGGGGGCCAGAACAAAGTATCCCAAAGACTAGAACCAGGCACTAGTTGGACCAGACTGTGCATGAAAAAAAGACCTTGAGGGACAAAACTCATTAAGAGAAGGTGGTCCAACTCTACGAAAGCAAATAAAGCCAGTCTTTTGGACTGCAGGCTCTAACTTTCACTCTATAAACTCTGCAAAGTATCTTCTGCATGGCAAGTCATGGTCTACAAGTAAGCTCATCCACTGAGATTTGTTTCCCCATGACAAAATTATCCCCAAATCCCACACCCATTTGTGTTTGGCTGGGACACACGGGTTAACTTTTTTACCTGTCTAGCTCTAACTGCACACACTATTCATTCAGAATCCAAAGTGTTTAGAACATTACCTCAAACGTCACCCCAGCAAGAGCAAAAGCTTTGAAGTCCCCAACTGTTCCTTCTACTGCAGTCAAAACAAACCCTTCTTTCTGAGCAGTAACTGTATATTCCAAGTCACTGTGGAGTGGCCCAACACTTCAAGTAAAAGGAAAGAAGAACTTGTTTTAAACAAAGCACTTAGATATCACACACACGTTGTCAAGTCACCATTGCACTTTAACTAAAGAATCCAAAAGATCAAAACAAATCTGTTAATTACCTGTAAGCACCTTTGTCATCGGTGAAAACTGTGATGAGCGGGGAAGTTGCTCCCTTTTCACCGATGACAATCTCAACACCTTCCAACTCAGGATGAATTCGCCCTTCCAGAAATAAGCCTGCTTTTCCATGAATCTCTATCAGCTTTCCAGGACAACTCTCTTGGTCATTGCAAAGGGGATTTAAGACAAACAAGAAAGTCAAAAATACACTACCATTCTGTCTTACAGCAAAAGTTTAACTGCTTCCAAAGTGATCAGTTGATATTCTTTTACCTTAGAATAAGAGATCAACCCACACAATTCTATGGCCTCTCAAAACATCTTAAAACATCTGAACATTCACAAAATCAGTAACTAAGTTCCAAAGCTATAAGGACATCTCCAAAACATTATGGATTTGCTAAGTACTTTGAGGATTCATTAAGTTACATATACTGCAGCCACATGGAGAAGATTCCAACAATATTCCCTTCTAGCTGATATTACACTGAGCTTTGACAAAATTTTTTTAAATCAAATTCAGGTCAGCTTATGTCGTGTTTAATGACATAAGCAAAATTGTTTTCCCCCTCCCTTTCAATGTGTTTAGAATGTGCACAACAAAGAGGCACATAAAAAGGGGTACCTAACATTTTCTAGTGATTTCAAACAAAGTATGTTCACTTAGGAACCTGAGGGCAAGATGGACGCTGACTTAACAAGTAGCATCAACTGACTGATGATAAGCCTGATAATTTTGAAGTTAACTTTTTTGTGAGTATTTTTATTATTGTAATTTACTAGAAACAAAACTTAACAGAAACTTGAATTTGGTAACAAGCTCAGAATACAAACATAGCTTTTGCACAACTATTTTTCTAGACGAGAGTAATATGAACAATTCTGAGAATCTGGTGTAATGTCCAGAAATCTAGTCCTTCCTCTGGTGCTAGGCAGTCTTTTAGCACTTGGAAGCATATTCTGCTGATAAAAACTGTACTTGCACCCTCTACCAGATACCCATGTGTTGTGGTTTAACCCAGCAGGCAGCCAAACACCACACAGCCGCTTGCTCACTCCCCCCCACAGTGGGATTGGGGGGGAGAATCGGAAAAAACCGTAAAAGTCATGGATTGAGATAAAGACAGTTTAATAGAGGAGAAAAGGAAGGGAAAATAATAATAACAATAATAATAATAACAACAACAACAACAATAATAATAACGATAGAATATACAAAATGAGTGATGCACAATGTAATTGCTCACCACTCGCCAAACAATGCCCAATCGCTACTTCCTGGACCATGCCTCTTATTTATATACTAAGCATGACATCATATGGTATGGAATACCGCATTGGCCAGCTGGGCCAGCTGTCCTGGCTATGCTCCCTTCCAGCCTCTTGTGCACTTGGCAGAGCATGGGAAGCTGAAAAGTCCTTGACTATAGGGTACTTAGCAACAAATAAAAACATCAGTGTATTATCAACATTCTTCTCATACTAAATCCAAAACACAGCACTAGGAAAAAATTTAACTCTATCCCAGCCGAAACCAGGACACCATGCTTCCAAATTCCAGAGTGAAACTGGCCCAAAGAAATAGCTGCAATTGAAACTTCCTTAACATTACCTTTGAAGAGCTATTCATACATTCATCTATAAGGATACCTTTCTGTCTCAAAAAATCTACTCCTTTCAAACTAGATTTTATTTATATTTACCTCCACTAACAACTGTTTCCACATAAGGCGGGTAGAAAAGCAGTTCTTTTGATGACGGTGTCACAGTAATTTTCTCTCCGGACCTATAAAGCACAAATAAGATACAAATTAGAAGAAAACGCAATCAGCAGCTCTCATGTAGAGCAGAGTACTGCATATTGACCCAAGAACCCACCTAAATACCCCAAGGAGAAAATATCAATAACAACCTAAGCAAAATTCATATTATGTCGTACTAGTTTCCATTTAGCTGACAGTCAACAAGAACAGGCACAGGTACCCATACAGCAGCTCTTTCCTATATGGAATATATCACTATTCTGTTTGATGGAAACACCAGACAATAGTTCAAAGAATACACCTTGTCTGTTAGAGCTTGGTATTACCTTGCCCAGTATGAAAATTCATATAAGAATGGTCCTTGCAGTTCCTCCACCATTTCTTGCACTGGTGGCTTTGTTCCTTCCTCCTCTTGACCCTTCTTTTCTCTCTCCTGTCGGCGCGTCTCAATTTCTGCCAGCTGCTGCTCCCTACGTAACTCCTGTACAGATTTCAGGGGCCCTAAAACTAAGGCAGGTTCACTGTCAATGGATGACCTGAAAACATGGAGGAGAAAACAAAATCATCTCCTTTCATATGGAGGGATAAGAGCTTGTTATAGCTGTTAATTACTGCCTTTATACCACAGCAGACAAGTCCCAGGATTTTTTTTTTAAATCCATTCCTTTTTAATTCTGCTATTTATTCCAAGCATAACTAAAACTTTTAACCTCCATTTTTAACCTCCAGTTACTACTAGAAAGGCTCATTCTGTGGGACTACAGGTAACCCACTTGGCCTAGCAGGAAGGGACCTACTTGCAACTCTCACAAATTCTGCCCCATCATCTATAACCATTCAAGAAGTTATGGCCGTGTTGCCTCCTCCTTCCCTCTGCCGTGCCTCAGCATCCCACTGCAGAGCCAGTGTCACATGCCTACATCTCAACCACTTTGCAGAGTCCAGCATCTTAGCTTAGCTTAAGTTAGGTAAGCAGAGAGTCTTGATTTTGCATCAAGTACCAGACACCAGCTCTGCTGCAGGGGCAATAACCTCCCACAGAAGCACTGACAAGCCAGGAGTGGTAAACTCTTAAGCAAAAGGACCAGCTTCCAAGAGTACCTTTAACAAAGCCCTAAACTAAAAGAGAAAGGCTGGAATTCCAAACCTGAGAACAAGCCTAATACAGAAAGGATGAGTTATACAAAATAAACAAAAAGACTGGTAAGCTCACTTTTTTTTTCAGTACTAGGAACTTTCTCTCAGAACCTACCTCTCAGGAGTAGAGTATACAAGGAGAAAATAAAATTCTATCACAAACAAATACTTCAAATAGCTGGTAATTCCCAGGAAAAGCTCTGGGTTCTGCCCTATATATTTGAACTCTCCAGCTGTCTTGTCACTGTCCACTGAACAGATTGTGCTAGGTAAGTTTAACCAAGTTCTTTAAATCAGCTCAGAACAATGCATCTTGTTTCACTTTCCCTGATCTTACATCCTCTCTTTCCTAGCAATTTCTTGTAGTTTCCAACCATCTTTTGTATCTTATCTTCTGTCTCTTCTACAATAGTCTGAAAAACTGTCGCAGAACATTGCAAAATTCTCTATGATGAGTGAACTGAAATGGTCACGATTATTTTTCCTACAACCACTTTAGATTATCAGGATAGTTCTGCCTCCTGCTTCAGTCTTCACCTATATTCTGTCTTTTTTAAGAGAAAGAGATGGTATTGCTCTATCACACTAAGCTTCATCAAGGCTTTAAATTCTTTCTCTGCAGTCAGGAGACAATACAAAAATGTATCAACAAAATTTTTTTGTCTTAAAGCCTACTAAGAATCTGTACAGACATGCACACAGTCTCTTTATGTTAATAATAATTAATAATAAATTACTACTTTTCAAACATAACAAGCCATCATCAAAAATTGTTAAGAATCAGCTTTATTTTTGGTTGGGTTGGGTTTTTTTTTATTATTAACTGAAAGTTAACAGGTCACCGCCATGGTACACAAGCACAGATTTTTAAAAACAACCGTCTTGCTTTTAAATCCAGAGCTACTCCTTTTGTGTTGATGGCATTTCACAAATTGGACTTTGGCTGAAAAGCTTCAGGCAGGCTTGAACAGAGGCGGTCTGTGGCAGCTGAGCTGCCTTCAAAGCACTTGCCAATAGGCTCAAAAAACCCAACCAGCCTAGAAGGTTGGTATAATATTCACTCCTCACTAAGTTGTTTTTAAAATCCTAATGGCTCTCTGCTATCTCAATGTTTCTTTTCCAGCTGCTGTAGTTGCCCAGTAGTTGCAGTTATAGGTTCATTAAACTCAGGGAACTCAAGACAATGCTCTGCAGGTGATTTGTTCTCTTAAAAGATGTTTTCTACACTCAAAAAGTTTGAGAGCCCATAGTCTAGAACAAGTGGACATCAGCAGAGCATTAATAAAGCACTCATCATTATCAGACACTTCCAGGCAGATCTGGCACCTCATACAATTAAAGCTGTTCACAAACCAGTGCTCCCTAGTGAGCTGTCTGTTCAGCTAAACATAAATTGGCGCATTAGTGTGTAATCGCTCTGCATGGTTTTCCTTTTATAACCCTCTTCACACCAGTAACAATGCTCTAAAGCAGCAGATTCTCATTCTGAGGAAACAAAAAAGGAAAAAAATAGATGCCAGTGCTAAAGAGCTCAGACCTAAGCTAAAACAATACCCTCTGAATTCTGAAATTTCAGTTCATTAAAGTGTATAAAAACTCAAAAAATTGTTCCTTTTTACCATGACGCACAAGTAGAAAGGGGCTATATTGAAATGAAGTGACAATGTTCAAAATGAGGGCTGGGAATTATTTATCCATCTACAAAGAACTCAAAGCACAGCTTAGCATAAAAACCTCTTGCAGTCTAGAGTTGGATGCCATCCCCTTAGAAAGCAGCCGCTGCGGTATTAAAACCAGAGTAAAACTTTATGAGAGAGATGTCTTTTTTTCTTCCCCTTTTTATAGCCCTAGGATTTCTTTGTTCTTACTTAATGGTAATAGTCACATCCATCAGTTTATCTGTTACAATCGTGCCAAGGACATGGTGTCGAACTGCAGTGAGCGTCAGTATACTAGGAGAGGACCTGTAAATCAAAGTAACAAAGAGATGAATTCATGGTCCCCCTCCTAAAGAAAATAACCAAATCTTACTTAGCAGAGTTTGTGCTCCCTTCCCTAAGGTTGAAGTGCTTTATAAAAGATGATGTACAAATGACACAGCAAAGCTGTAGTGCTGAGATGATAGCATATTGGAAAGGGAGGATTTTCCAGCTCTGAACTCCAAACCACTGCATGACATTGGCCAAATCAATTCCTTCCTTTGTGCCTCCTCAAGCTAAAGCTGATTTGATTGATTTCGTATGTACAATGCCTCTACACACACAGCAGAAGGACACTCAAAAGTTTGTCATATTAGACATATTTCACCAAAACGCCCCAAGTCTAATAGTGCTTTGCTACCAAAAAAGGGTTTCTGCTTCTACCCATTCACTCACTTTGTGCGGGCTCTCATGTTTAGCACATGTCTCTCTGAAGTACTTTTCATTCACTAACACAGCAGAAAAGAGATTTTAATGCTGAATTCGTTTTCTGCCATGTTAATGAATTAGAAGTAGTCTGGGAGCAGAAATCCTCTTTTTGGAAGCAAAGAGCCATTAAGCACATTGCCAGACCATAACCTAGAAATAACTAGTAAAACATGACTGACTTAGGAAGATCAGCACTGCTTACTTGTGATTAGGGTGAATATTTATTCAGCTTGCAAAAACTGGAGTGAGCAGAATCAAATCACCACAGAGTCATGGCACTAGGGACATACAACGGTGGTATATGCCTCCTAGTAAACTTACTATCCCATCTTTTGCATTTCAACTCTCACAAGTGATCAACATTTTCCACTGAAATCTCTCTGCTTTGTTACAAAGCAAAACCAATATTAAACAGACAAAAGGCTGACCAAAATATCCATTTAAAGCAGGAAAAGCACCTTTAAAGCCTATCATTAGCTGATTATTTTTTTTAAGACTAGAAAGGGCAAGAGAACACATCTGATACTAAAGCTAAAAGCAATGCTAAAGCTTCCCTCTATTGGTTAGAGACAGTCATAGCAACACATCCTGAATCGCTGAAAGAAAGCAGCTGCAGCAGAAGGAAGCTTTATGAAAGCATACTGATAGGCATAAGATCAAAACAGATTTTGCTCTTACGTGTCGTAAGTGTAATACTCATGTTCAAACTGGTGGCAGGAACGTGGGGTCACCTCATATACACCTGTAAAGATTAAGTGAAAGAACGATCCGCTGAAAAAATTCAAGCTTACTGTGTTGGCTGAATTCTCAAAATCACGAGACCTCAGGTGTTGAAACAATTACAAAATTTTACTATATATCTACTGCCTTTCACACAGACACTTTTAAATTAATTCACCTCGGTTCAGCCATAGATCACTATTGGAAGCTGCACAGTGTTTCTAACGTACACTTATACAAAACACAATTAGGCATCACTACAGGTAAACATAATTACAAACACAGCAAATCAAACAAGCTCAGAAGTAACCTATTATGGTCCCATAGCTGATACCCTTTGACTGATTACAGAACCATTGTATTATTGTATTGTGAATGAGACCACTGGTTCTAAGGATGAAACGTTCAAAGCTGAAAACTGAATCAAAACCAAACGTATTTGTTAACTGTTTTGCTAACGGGCCATAACAGAGAATTAGCTCTAAGACATGAAAAGGAGAAAAAAAAAACACCCTAATTTTAAAACATTGTTTTTTCCTGTTATAGATAACCCTGTGGTACTTTTAACAGGTATCCCTCAAGAATCCTGTATTGAAATGAAACTTCTATTTGTCAGTCACATTCTAATGTGACCCATAGGAACAAGATTATTTTAACATGCTCTTCATTCATCAAAGATCAAAGTCCTTCACCGAGTCCAAAAAAAAAAAAATTATTTTACTTCTGGAATCTATATTTAGGTGAAGGACTAAATAGTAGGAGAATTCTAAAAACTTAGAACAGAGCATTTATATACAGATGTAAATAAAACAATGCCTCTCAGAAACCACAACAGTTCGGTTTGTTTTTTTTTTTTAAATTCCCAGCAGTATTAGTTGACTGGTTCTTTTTCGTTTTTTAAACTAACATTTTAGAGCTGTTACCTGGCTTTGAAAGACAGAATCTATTAACTCCTTTGGACAGGTTATAAACACCAACGTTCTCTGGTCCATTTCCATCCTGATAAAATTCCTGTGAAGCCACAACACAATTCACTATTTGTAACTACCAAACAACGAAATGAAAACAGTATTTGCCTAAAGATACATTAATGCTTCTCTTTTATAGCAGCTAACAACACAAGACCATTTTACCAAATCTAAGAGACAAATCTAAAGCACTCTAAACATCAATGTTGCTGTGCTATATGACTCCCTAGAGACATGAGAAAGCCTTGATTCCAAGCATAATCCAACCTAGCTACACAAGTTCATTAAAAAAATACAAGGACGTTTGTTACCTACATACCAGTGTAATTGCATGAGAAAGAGAACACCTCAGCATATATCCAGTCTGCCTGAATTCTACTCCCGAAACATCTTCCTCCATGACTTCCAACTCCAAAGACTTATTCTTCCAGCACCAGTCTTCATGTACAATGCTTACTAGAATACACATCACACAAAGCATTTTAGTAATGTAAAACTGTGTGAATAAAGGCAAGGTGGTATAAAAAAAGCTTGTATCACTAACTTCCCTGACAATAATCTTCAAAGCCAGATATACAATGACTGTAGTAACAGACCTGGCTCACAGCACTGCAGCATCACCAGGAATCCAGCACTTCTCATAACAGAAAAGGAATTACAAAAAGGAATAATGAAGTCTGGTCACCCTGGAAAGTTCTGCAATGTGCAACTATTGTGATAGTCAAAGAAGCCTAGCAGACATCAGAACGTAACTCCAATTTCACCTGGAGGAAAGATGTTCTGACTCGTGTATAAGAAGAGCAGTCTGTATATACTCCTTCTACACCTTTGCCTGGAAAACAATTTATTTTCGTAGTAGGCCAAGGCAGGCTGGCCAAAACACATATTGCTCTTAGGAGAGGTACTCTGGAAGCAGAAGAACTAGGGTGTGCCCCTGTTCTTAGGCTTGGGACAAGTCAGTTCATGATAAAGCCCTTTTTCCTCACACCAGCCATGTAGACCCTAAAACTTAGGGGAGCAGTTACCTGTAAGCTGACAAACGGGTTAAACATACAAGATTAAGAAAACTTGGTGCACTGTTATGTAGTATTTTTCCAGATTCTCTCAAGTTTCAGAACTAGTTCCATGTTGGACATACTGTAAACATTATCCACAATAACAGAGGTATACAGATTAAGTCACAAATTTAGCTACTAAGGTAACATTTCAATCAGTTCCCCATAATCCTACCTTTGTATTTGCCAGGTAGCACATTTTCAAATGTGAAGGCTACCGAGTCCATGTTTCCAGAGAGCTGCAGGTTGCGTTTTTCACCCTGGCGGCTCACAGACTGTAATGTCATCATCAGATCACCACAAGCATCTGTGCAGAAAAGACAGCAGAAAATTAGACTGCATTCTGGCTTGCCAGCTTGGCCTCCAAAACTCCCACTCCAAGTGAGCTTCACGTGTACCCAGATTAAAATGATTACTCTCTTCCAGTAGAGAACATTTCAAATTAGAACTCTTACTCTTATTTCTTAAGCACATGTTTACCAGTGCTTTTTTGCATTCTTCAGGAAGTTTCAGACTGTTAATCATATTCTTTTATCTAACGGCAAGTAACAACCAGAGGCCAACATTAAATGCCTGGGTCCACCTTGCTCTGCAGAGACTGCAGAGACTACAGGGCCCAGAAAACACCTGACAGACAGAACACCAAGTGCAGAGATGATTTAGAGAGGAAAAAGGAAGGGGTGAAAATGACAAAAGTCAAGCTCCAATCACCGTCTGCTGAAATCAGTGGGTAACCAAGGAAAATAGCAGAAAAGAGGACCTCAGACTAAAATAAAGACAAAAAGCTTATGAAAGAAAACAGAGATTGCAAGCTTCTGTTAACAGTCTGAGCCTCTATCCTACAGGTTTTCACATGCACTGCCTTTTTTTTTTTTTTTTTTTGTCTTTTTTGCCTCCAGTACTTCTCTGACTGATGTACAGTATCCCTAATCTCAGCCAGGAGCACTCCCTTCCAGAACTTACCCACCTTCTGACAAAGGCAAACAGGTCAGAATTCCTTCCTGAAGAAGGAATTGCTTATTCCTAGCAAGTATTAAAAATAGGTACCTAACTTTACTCCAAACTTTATTAAGGTACCTTATTAGGCTGTAAGGTCTCCCAAAAAAAGAGCCGCTTTACCTATGTGCTGGAAGTTAATTTACTTACCTGCTGATGGGGCTAACCACAGCAAGTGTCTTGATCTAAACAGTACTCATTCACACACGCAGTGCTAAAGTTCTCTGTTCCCGTTTCCGCTTCACTTTCAAAATTGGCTTACCTAAACAAGAGATCTTCCCTGAGATGGACGCCAAAAACTGAGAGAAGGTCACATCCATTACTGGTTTGTCTGTAACAGTAACAGGGAACATTTTGGGTTTCAAAGCCAATCCTGCTCTGGTCTCAGCCTCTGGAATAATTACCTGTAGAGTATATGACATCAAGACATCACCAGCTTTTAAATACCAGTCCAAATACACCCACTCTGCTGAGTTCAATCCACTTATCAGAAATTAGAAAATTGAAATTTACTGTAAATCCCAGGCAAAGCAAAACCAGCCTCCCAAAACCAGCCTCCCAAATATGCTTTTCAAAATTCTGTACTAAAAATCTTCCAAAGAACTGAAATAAAACTGAGCAAAAAATCCTCCAAACAGCTCAGTTTCAAAAGTCTGTGTGAATTTCACTTCAGGATGTACTGCTGGTTCTACATTAGGTTATTTCATTATCTGTAAGAACAGTTAGAGGCCTTATAACCATGCACTTCCTTATCTTCCTGCCTGCACCATCTCCCACAATGCAAAATTCATAGTCGTTGTGCTACAGGTTCTGCTGTGACCTATATCTCAGGAACCATTTAAGCACCTGAGAAAGGTACACATTACATGTCTCACTCATAGGATAATATATTAAGATAAGAAGTGATCTAAGGGACATCACAACTAAGAGGAGAGAGAAATAAGAACTTTCAAATTCAATGGCCTGATCTCCTTTTAGCAAGTGTAAAGGACAAGGAGCATGGGAATCAAAGCTTATTAAGGGGGAAAAAAAAAAGGAAATAACTGCTATTGTTTAATTAGTGCAAACAGGAGAAAAGGACCAGGTAAATCTAAATTCAACTTCTCAAATTTTAGAAATTAAATGTTTAAAATCTTCTAAAACCTCATAATGGTTATACAGTGAAGAAATGGAAGCTCATTCTTACCTGAACATTGTATGTACCCGACTTTGCTTTAAAACAAAATGCGCCGTGAGGGTCAGTTTCTGTTGTAACCAGTGATGCTTTGTCCTTGCCTTGAGGCATCATGGTTACCTTGTATTTACTAATCTGTTTGACTGTGTCAGGGAAACGAGTTACTGAGATCTGGCCACACACGCTGAATCTGTTAAATAAAAGCCAGCCATCAGAATAAATATCTTGATTTGACAAAGCTCATAAAAAAGTACTTGTTTTAAAACTTCCTTAAAAAGTAAACCTCACTACGTTGACGTACTAACACATGAATTGGAATGGAATTCTCCTGAAACAATGTTCATATCAAAAGAGATACTATAAGCGAATACAGTGAAGCAAGCGCAAACTCATGTACTATAAATGGGATCTTTTATTTTACAATGAAGTCACCATGATATTATGTTACGTTTTTATTTCCAAGCAACTTGCTTCACTCTTGCCCCCCACCAACCCAATCACTTCAAGCCTTTTTTCTTCTTTTCTTTTTTTTTTTTTTTTTTATTTTGGCTAGGCAGGCAATTGACTTAGCATTGCCATCCCTCAGTTTTTAAATAGTATGAAATGTTTTGTGTCAAAGACCTCAAATATAATAGGTAATTCACTTGAACACAAGCCCAGTACACCTACGTTTGTGAAAACACAAGACAAGATGACAAATTAGAAGCTGTTAAGTTTTACTTTTCACCTTCAACAGTACAACATATTTAGTAACTGGAAAAACTGTAACCGATCATTTAACAGCACGCAGGTGTTTTTTTCTAATTAGCTAGCTGAGTCTGCATGAGCTAGTTGCCAATTGCCTCAGTAAATTCCTAGCTTTCACTTCTCCGGAAAGTTGCCGCTATTTTGTCCTCCAGGAGAAGCTCCCGGACAGAGAACCACGCCCCTTTTGTCCTCCTCAGCTCACACTGTATCTCCCACCACTGCCTTACACTCCCAAAATCATCCTGTTACCATTACACAGGCTTATGCCCAGCACTCAAAGAATCACAAACAAGAGGAAGACAATATATATACATAAGACAACTATGACCTTGAGAGTGATTGTCCTGGTTTCGGCTGGGATAGAGTTAAATTTCTTCCTAGTGCTGTGTTTTGGATTTAGTATGAGAAAAATGTTGATAACACACTGATGTCTTCATGTCAAGGACAGCTTCCGTGCTACCAAGCAGAGGCTGGGAGAGAGCACAGCCAGGACAGCTGGCCCAGCTGGCCAACAGGGTATTCCATACCATGTGACATCATGCTCAGTATATGAATGGTAGGCATGATCCAGGAAGTAGCAATCGCTACTTGGTTATCGGTCAGCACAGGTGGTGAGCAATTGCATTGTGCATCACCCATTTTGTATATTCTATCATTATCATTATTATTATTGTTATTGTTTTCCCTTTTCCATTCTATTAAACTGTCTTTATCTCAACCCACGAGTTTTTCTCACGCTTACCCTTCCGGTTCTCTCCCCGTCCCACCGGGGGATGGTGGGGGACAGGGAGTGAGCGAGCGGCTGCATGGTGTTTGGCTGCCTGCCAGGTTAAACCACGACAGTGATGAATAATAAAAGAGGTTTGGTACAACACCACACCAGACAGTTATGTAACTCCACTCTTGCACAGAAGGAGGGTGTCTGAAGTGCAGTATCAGCAGCAGAAAGCCTCTCTGTTCCTTTCTTGGTTCACATACAGTTCTATAATTGCTCAATATACCCATGTCTTAGCGTCTTCATTTGCAAGGGAGAGGTTATTAAGAGGGCGCTCTAAGCCTTACCTAGTATTGAGCAAAATACTGTGGACAAAACATTCCCCTGCATTCATGCTGTCCTATCAACCTTGAATTTCTCGAGTAGTATTTAGCTCCTGACAACAGTACACAAGTCTGGGCATGACACGGGAAAAGATCACCCATTTTCAAGACCTTGTCTGCATATCAAATTACATTTTCATCATGACAGCAGTACTTACCCTGTTGCAATGATGTTTGCTAACTGAGGTGTATTTGGTGCAATCTTTATTGTAATAGTATCAAAGAAGAGATGTTCTTTCCTGGCATGAATTGTGTATGTACCTGTTGTTATGTTCTCAAGGCGGAAAGAGCCATCAGCTTTTGTTTTTACTGTAACAAAAAAAACAGAGCATGTCTTGACTGTCTATCCTTATGTGTCAAAAGAGACAGAGGGCATCCACTGCTTTAGGCTATTTTTAATTTACATTGCATGGCAAAGAAACAATACTATGCTTTCTTACTATACCAACCTTCATTTCTGTATTTCAAAGCACAATTTGGCATATGGTTGAAAGAAAATACAAGAATTTTTCTACAGCAAAACAAATGAACACCTGGACGGCCAAGCCCAGAGAGTTGTGG